GAAACAAAATTTTAAAATAGCTTCATTGGATCCACTAGCTAAATAGTAAATCATTCATGATACACTCAAACAGTTGGCTGCAAAATAAAGACTTTTCTTTTATTATTCTGTCAATACTTTTTCGTTAAAATGTAAACAAAGCGGCGACTTTTCAGCAAATCTTTGTTGTTTTGTCCCACTATGAAAATTAGCCACTGAACGTGGATTAATTTCACTGTTTATCCACTTCATAATAATACAGCTTAAATACCAAAATATTAAAAAAACATGTTTTACGCAATACCAGTTTATGTTTTTTTTTTTAATTAAATTGGATTAAATTATACTTTCTTTATGCAACGCTTCTATTTTCAATTCTAATCGTTCCGTCCAAACTTTGTGAAACTTGTTACGACATTGCTAAACTAATCCGACTGAAAATAAATCGAAGTTGAACGCTTTTCTTAGAATTACTTGTTATCACTTCACTCACACCACTCTTGTAACAAAATACAATGAGAAATAAGAAATTAATAATTTTTATATACATAATCCACGACCATCGAGATCAACAGGTTTTTAATACCTGTTGATATGTAATAACCGCTTGATAAATTGAAGGGATTCCTAATCCCAATCGCAAGGGTATCATTCTATCAAATACATACTATAAAAAAAAAATTAATTCTTATTATTGTAACTCACTAGAAACATTTATACAAAACCAAAATTTTAACTAAGACAAATTTCAAACACTTCTTAAACCGTTATTGCATTTTCATTACATCTCATTACTATAACAAGTATCTCTAAATTTAGTAGATTAGCTAAGATTTTGGAAGGATCAGTAAGAATCGTAAAAGGATCCCTCAATAACGTCGTTACCGATCTTTCAAGCTTGCTTCGCTGAAATTTTTGTGAAATGTGAAATCTTTCAGCTCTGGAATTCTCACACTTTTGAGTTTATTTTTTGCTGTTTCTGAGTAATAACTGCTTTGGCCAATATTAGACGCCCTTTTGTCGCAAAACTTATTTCAGTGGCTTGAATGTGATCCACTTATCTATTATAAGAGTAGTCAATTCTCTGCACGTCTCTTCTTCCTCTTAATCCATTTTCGTACTGTCAGTTAATCCGAGATTAAGTTGAAAATTTTGCGCAGGTTGAAAATTGAAATAATTTGAACGCCTCCACTAAATCCAGAAAAAAGCAATGATTGGTGCAATTCATTAGAGAATGAATTTTCTCTTTAATTGGAGTTTTAGGATCGAGTCAGAGAAATATGTAGAAAATTGCTTTTCGTTTAATATACAATAAGAGAAAGCTGCTCAATAGCCCGAAAGCAATTACGCGGTTGAAGCTCTATTAAATAGAGGTTTATCTTATGATCTTGTTGAGAAAAACGCTTTATTATTATAGTATAATAAGTGAAAAACAAATTCGCAAAATTCAACAAAATAAGTTTTTAACAGAAGTAATTTGATTTGAATTTGTGAAATAAAATTCTCAAAAGTTGACTCGTTAAAAATATATTTGTGTGGGTTATCGCACTCCAACAAAATTTCCGGTCTGGAATCTAAAAAACAGTACTTCTCAAGCAAATAAACTGATGAATTATTTGCTATTTTTGCCACTGCTTGTTGGAAAAATTCGCTTCCTTGTGCTGAAAAAATAAATCAGTTCGCCACCCTGAAACGCTAAATTCTTCTTGAAATTCACACATTTTGTGTAATTTTAAACTTTCTTTTAAATTACAAAATGTTTATTGCTGCATCTCGTAAAATTCGATATGTAAATACATAGTCAAAGTGGCCCCATAACCGTAAAATAAAACGTTAACCGTCCTCCTGATTTTAATTTTAGCCAATCCGTCAAGTTAAAGCAATTAATAACAAACCAAATATTTACAGAAGCAAAATTTCGGCGTAATCATTAGAAAAATGTTGACACGTAAAACAATGTGGACAAAGTTTAATCAAACTTTATGAATAATTTACAAATTTAGTGTAATAAATATTAAATCTAATTACTTTCACGCCATTGAATAAATAGATTAAAAAACGAATAATGTGGCTTTAGGTTCCACTGATTAATGTCAGGTTTGATTAACTAAACAATTATGTCTCATCGAGGGAGAAATGATTGATAAAAACAAATATGTAATCAATTTCATTCGTGGCTTCTTTCAGGGATGATTTACGAAGAGTGATTTTATACCAGATTTAACACAGAGAGCAAACAAAGTGGTAATTTATTAAATTAAAGTATTTCAAGCTCCATTTCAACATTTATTTTGATAAAAAATGGGTCAAGAGTCAATTTTTTAGTTTTCGTTTTAGGTCCGTGTTTATTTGACTTGTTTTGCATTTAATAAAGCGTTTAAAAAACCATAAAACCGATTAATGACTTGCTTATTTGATTTTCTGGTACAAAAATTCTAGGTATAAAACGATTTTTGTATCAAGATGACGCAAGTGTATTAAAAAAGAAGTTTTGTTTATTATTAGAGTTTTTAGAAGTTTCTTTAATGAATCCTTTAAACACGCAAAAATTGCCAAAGGATAACTCACAAAAAGTTGTGCATTTCGACGACGACAGGAAATTACAGTTAGCAAATTCTAATCGAAGTTTAATAGCACATTCAATGTTGGAATACAAGCAAAAAATAACTCATTAAATATTATAATAAACTTCCAAAAAAACTTACTTCACCGTCTAAGTTAATAAAAATATCAAGCTGCAATTTTGCATAGGCTACACTTAAATCAAATTTCTTGAATTGCATAGAATTTGCGAGCTTCGTTAAATCTGACAAAATTGCGCAGCTTGAGACATTTACCTCGCTAGAATAAATTGGTGATTTTCTGCCACTCATTTGAACTTAACCAAATCTTTTGCAATTTCTCGAGCATCAAGGATAAGTTTAATGACATTCTAGACAACGTTGCTGCATAGTTGAAAGTTTGAAACAATATGGGGCTCATATTGCATCACTGTGAAGACATTAATTAATGCAGATTTTCTTTTACAAATTTATTAAGAAAAACACCAATTTGGACAATCTTAATTGATTTTAGAAATTCCACTAGTTGTTTAACCAATTCGTAAACAGCAGTTAAAATTGTGTTAGGTGAGCCAAGAACGAAACGTTTTCTATCTCAAACATCGAAAAATGTTAGCAAATCGTCATTAGTAAGTTCATTAAGTAAATTGTTGGGTTTTGGCCGCAGTCAGGAGAGTTTATACCTACACAAGTTGGAAATGCTAGACAATTATTTCAAACTCTGTTCATTATCAAATAACTGATGAGAGCTTTTTGTATTGCCGAGTTGAAATACCAATTTTTCCAAAACAAGTGTCGGTAAGAAAAGCGGTGAAATATTTTTAAAATAATAGCATCCTTTGTCATTTGTATTGAAGTATTTGAAATGCTTCGTGTTTTCCTTCGTTTATAAAATATTAAAATCGATAGAGGAAAATAACAGAAAATCTATTTTAATAGTTGACAAATATTTTAGAATTTTAGGAGTCAGACAAAATGCTATTAAATTGCTCCTCCCTTCATTATGTTTCCAAATTAATTTTTATGTTTTGAGGCTCCATTAATTTACTAAATACTCTGTTATCATATATTATCAAGCATTAAAACAAACATCTATTGTTCTTATTTGTGTTTGCAAACAATAACCGTTGTTTTTTTCCCCGGTGTTATTAATATGTTGCAGACAATGGTAGGGAGCTTTTAGATTTTTCCAGTTTGAACATATGAAGCCATTTACAACCATAACAATTTAGATAACGTAAGCAAACAAAAATTAAAAATTCCAATTATGTTAAAGTACACTCTGCTAACCTATTTTGCGTTTTGAGCAAAATTAAAGTAGTATGGCGTTTTTAGATTTCTTTTTACTCAGGAGCTAATTTAGAGACTTGATGAAGTCACTTTTGAAATAAGTTTATTAAAAACGCGCAAATAGACAAAGAAGTTGTAGAAAATGGGTCATGTCACTGTTAATTGCACTTGGGTAGTAACAAGATTTATGATTTTATTTTATCAGGATTTTTGCGTCATTATAAGACAATTCGATACATGAGCTGACTCTCACGTTACCAATTACATAACAAAAATTTAAAAAAAATAAATGAAAGTTAGTTAATCCCAGGTTGAATTTGGATTAAATTTATCACAATAGTTGTCAGCTCACAGATTTATTACTATCGCTGATAACCTGGATGTTATTGAGTAGATTTATTTACATAAAGCTCATTTTATCAAATGAAACAAATTAATATTCTGTCATTTTGAAAATAAAGCCTCAATGCAATAAACAATATTTTTTCTATACAAAATGTGAAATTATTTCAATCATTTTAAAATTGCAATATTACGAGTAAATGTTAACAAAGTAAAGATTTCACGTTTTGATGTAAATAACTAATTTATAACGAATCATAAATTAATTAATAATAATTATTAGTTGAAACTAAAAGGCGTAACAACTTTATTCCACCTAAAATATTTACATTTATTGTTTGTGAAAGTCTAAAAATAACAGACTTATTCAAAGCAACAATTAACAGATTAAAAGATTTTAATCTAATTTACACAAATATTAGCGACAACAATCTTGTTGAAAGGTAGCTTCAATAGACTGCTTAATTTATGTAATGGATTAAACTATTATTTGAATACATATATGTCAAATATGAACTAAATGGCTCAATTTGAAATACCTTTTAATTCTTTTTATGTATAAAATTATTAAATTACTCCGATAAAAATAAATTAAACTAAATTTTCGTGTGTCATTCTATTTTTATTAACCTACTCTACATTATATTAAAATAAATGTACAAAAAATCTGCTTGTGGAATAATCGTTTTTTTTTAATTTTTTTGCTTTTAATTAGCTTTATTGTCGAATAATTTGTTTGAATAGAGCTTTCAGGAAGCTTAATTAAGTTACTTATCCTTGCAATCACTACGATGCTAATTATTGAGTAAACTTTTCAATAAAACTTACCAAAATTTGATTTCCAACACGAAAACTTGCAACTTTTGATTTTTAAGCTAGTGAGCTTTTTTCGCAGTCCATCTCTATAATGAATGAATGACTCATAAATATCCGAGCTTAATCAGAAAGCCGCGCGTACTACACTGAAATTTGCCGAAAGCTTATGAATTGGAGATAAAAGTTTGTTGCGACGAAAGCTTCCGACCGACACCGAGTCCTGTTCGGTCCAACCTTTGAAAAAAGAAAATTCAAAACTGAAATATTGCCGATTGTTGAGAGTTCCCCTCGCAAATATTTACACAACGATCTAAGTTTCAGATAAATTAAGTGTCAGATTCGGAATGAAAAAGCTAAAAGCACGATGAGTTACTTTTGAAAGGGATTAATCACAGCTGTTCATCTTTAAAGTGTCAGCTTTTAAATTGACAATGGAATAAAATAAAATTTTTGGTGAAATGCTGCGATAAATCCTGTCAAGAGGTGCTTTAAAATGATTTGTTTGGGGAACAAAGAGATAACAGTTGATCGAAACTGGAAAAACCGTGAAAAATTTTAGAGAATTCAGGATTAAACCCTGACAATCACTGACTTTGCAAATTAATTATGTAGTTATCAAGGTTTATTTTTACTTGATTAGAAGTCTGTTGCACTATGGCTTTTGCTTTAACATAATAAATCATAGATGATATTAGATTACCATGACTGACAGTTTTGGTATTAAGGCTACTGCAGAACAGCAATTAGCTCGTAAATTATTCAGGAACTAAGCTAAATACTTGCATTTTGCATTACTAAAGTTCAAATTTAAATCTAATTTATTTATTTTAAATGATCTGTGACAAGGCAATATTGGTGTATTGATTTCATTTAATTAGAACTAAATGGAAATGAGTTTATAAAAACAAAAATGTAGAATATACAAAAGTCTCGATTGAGAAAATCTTGGTGTAAATTAATTTAAACTCCAATTACAGATTTTTACTCAGTTTTAATAAAAAAAATTCTTTGTTTGGCAATGACCCAGAAATGTTTGTTTCAATTTATTTCTTCGAAAATTTGGACTTATTTCTAAGACGGAATAATCTGACATGTCCATTCGCAACCCTTAAATGTGTCTCACATTGTCACTTTTTGTAGAATTTTTCTATTTTGATTCTACATTGTGTTTTAACGCCATTGTGATGACGCTGATATAATCCGAAAGCAATTAATTTTACTCATTCTAGTGTGTTTTAATGTTGATAGCTCTGTTTATTATAATTAAACGGAAAAGGCCAGTAAACTATTATGACCACCATTTCCATATACACGGAATTCCATCAAGAACAAGTTTAAGTATTCAGGTTAATCCCATCTAAATGTCGCATGTAAAAGACACTAGAACGTGATGTTCTTTGCAAAGTACTTATTACTGCAATTGTCATCTTAAATGATGCGATCAATGCACAAGAGATACATTTGGATGGCAGAATTAAATACCAAACGATTTGCATTTTATCAACTGTCAAACTTTAACATTTTTCATTAAAAGTCACTTTGATGACATTCAGGGTGGCACCCCTGCCACGACGATATTAGATACGTGGAAATTGGATTGAGCGGATCAGATTTTCAGACTAATGAAATTTGTGGAAGACAAAGAGCCCAAATTAATAGCACAGCTAAGCTCTTAATTTGACCCTTTTATATTAAACAATTTTTGCATTATTTTGCAATGTTTTAATAAAAAGAAATACTCAAAAAAAATCTTTAAATTATGAACTAAAAAGAGCAGAATGGTTGTTTTTTGATATTTTTTGCTTTTTATTCTCACCCTCTACAAATACACTGGCCGCCAAAATTAACCCGAGACCTAAAATTTTGCGATTTTTCACATTGCAATATTTTTGGTATTCTTTGTCGGATGTAAACGAATTTTTGTTTGGGTTAAAAAGAATGAACTTTGCAGAACATTGTAATTTAATTCAATAACATTTCTAGTTTTGTCTTTTAAATGTAATACTCAAAAGACGAAGGCACTGTTTTTTTACTTATTTTTATACTGAGTTGTGGTGTGCGACAGAGACAAACTTAAGTTTTTACTGAGTTTAGATTATTGCCCATTCTTTTCTAAATTATCTGCCACACATAATTTTTATTCTTGAGGCATGAGAGATATAAAACATTACATTTTCAATTTCAATGAATGTTCGTATTAAGTAGACCAAATGTGCCAAAACGTCACAATAGAAGCTTCCAATAATTAACCGTTTTACTTGTTGTAATCCTTGAAGTTCCAAGTTTTTCATATTTTTGTGTTCAAAGACGTAGTTGGACTTATTTGCAATAATTTTTGGTTTAACTACTTTTTTATGTAGCTACTTTCTGAACAAATATTTAGTAACATTAAAAGCAACATATTTTTTAATGCTTTGTGTCTCTGGAGTACCAGAAGATAAAAATTTGAAACAATTGGTCCTCATTCAGAAAAAAAACGGACAATAATCTGAAATAAGTAAAAACTTAATTTTGTCTCTGTGAAAACAAAACTAAAAATGTAATTGAATTAAATAACAATGTTCTGCATTGTTCATTCGAACAAAAATTCGTCGAAATGCGACAAAAAATAACAAAAATATTGCAATGTAAAAAATCGCAAATTTTTGGTGTCCGGTCAATTTTCGCGGCCAGTGTAGTTTAAGAAAATTAAAAAACTCATTCATTATAATTGTGTTCAATGTTTTGCGACGAACTGTGTTGATTTTCCTTCGACCACTTGTTGTGTTTAATCTATTTTTCTTTATCGAACAGTTAACAAAAAAACCCTCTCCTGTCTATTAATTATTATGTCAAAAAAAGTGATCGTAATTAAATTTTGGTCAAGACTCGTTAATTTGTTAATCGAATTCCCGCGTCACGGTTCCACCCTTTTATTTATGCCCGCAAGAAATCCATTTGTAAATGAATGCCTCTGATAACAAAGAAACATTTACGCTTAGTTAAATATTATCCTTAAGCTTGTAAACTGTTTGAATTTTACTGCTAACAACGATTCTGGAATTGGGTCAAATGGTCTCAATGTTTGAGAACAATGTAAAAATTATGATCTAAGCACCAACATCTATATTTTCCCGAGGAGACAGAATAAGGGGTCGCGGGTTGAGACCACGACCACAAATATTCCAGTATCGTACTTCTTTGTATGCATTTGGGCAGGTCGGGAGAGTGGAAACATAGGCGATAAGGAGAAAATTTATGAAAATGGAGTAAGGCGCGTGTAAAGGTCAGGAATTTGCCCTTAAATCAAATCGGAAAACAAATAAAAAGTTGGATCAAGCCTTAATGTTCTTAAATTTCGCTCAAATTTATTGCTTCTTTTCGCTTCGTGTTTAATTAAAACAGTCACCCTCTTTTTGTCCGTTTAACCCTTTTCCATTGTTTTAAAATTATAAACTCGCCAGCGTTTCATTCTGCATTTAGCGCCGCGTTAAAATTTAGCAAGAGTCGTCGCCTAATTGTTTTATTGCTGTACTTTAAACAAGTTTGGTGAGGTTTTGGATGGAATTTCCGGATGCTCCAACCCAAACAGTTGTCTTTATTAAGTTGCTTTTGCTTCCACACATGTTACAGAGGTAAGCTAATAAAGTAGCGCCAAACACTTCATTTTCTGAAGTGATATAAATGAAGTCAAGTTTTTACTGACGCAACATAGGTGATTTATTAAACTCCTCGAGGGGTCCGAATTGGGTCTTTGTTGTTGTTGCTGTTGATATAGATGGTTAATGTTGTGTGAATAATATGTGTCACCGTCAGAGTCGAGGTTTATAAACATACAAAACCCAACCACTCAAACTATTTGCTTTTTAATAATAAAGAAAAGTTAAAAATCTAAGTGGATTCGAGTAAATACTATTGAAAGTAACAATAAAAGTGCATCTGTGTGACTACAAACTAAGCTGGAAACGCTTTTGTTACAGCAATCATTTCCTCATTTCACGATAAGTAGGTCAAGACATAAAAGTAACAATAAAAAGATTCGAACTTTTGGAGAGTTGGAATCAAAACTTAAAATTTTGCAAGGTTAAACTGCGACATCTGTGCGGTAAAAGCTTCACCCGGAAGCTTCCGGGAAAACATTTCTACAAAATTCCGGTTTAGACTCACCATTTAACTACTAGGGGTCGCCTCCAGGTTTGAGTATTAGTACACAAGTGTTTCTTTTGGTTGAGAATCGCTATCTTAGCTCTGGTGCTGATTTTAAAATATTTTTACTGATTAACAATAAATACAATTTATTTTACAGGAAACTTGTTTTTTTTTATAAAATTTGGAAACTGAGGTACAGGAAAGCGTTTTAATTTTTTAGTTAAAATTCTGTAAAGCATTTTAAAATCAGTCACTAGAGAGCGCCCCAATTTATCATTTTTTTATTATTTAATTTTAAAAGCTTTATTTACCACAACTAAAACTATGGGATACAAAAACACAATTCTTGTTAAAGCAAAAGCTGCCTAAAAGCAAAAAAATGCGTTGATAAATAAACTATGACCAACTTCTTTACTTCTAATTTTCATACATTTAATAAAGTCAATTGTTTCTTGATTAAAATTAAATACAATTTATTGCGTTTGTTATAATGAAACTTTATAGCAAAATTTAATATCGCTATAATGAAGCCAAAATTATATCAAGTTAGTTAATTTGAAAAAAAAATTTTTACGATGTCATAAGGAAGCCTTTAGAATTTATCTACAAATTACTGCAAAGTTTTAATTTGACTCTAATTTTCAACTTAATTTGTTGGTTCATCCACATTTGGGAAAAGTCTGTCTGAAGCATAAATTGGCTCAGACTTAATCTTTTTTAAGTGCTTGACTTTCTCTATTGCAAGTCCACCAACAAGTGTACGTTTATTATATCCCCCACTTGCATTAGAAAGGTTTAGTGTTTAAACCCAATCTGAATTACAGTAAACAGTAAATTCCTCGCAAATGTAAAAGTTTTTAAGACTTCCACATTTAAATTCTTAAATAAGTTGCAATGCAAAACTTTCAGGAATTGTTTATTTTCAGTGAGTCGAAACCGAATTAGTGTGAAATCCGACACAAAACTCGAACGAAAATCCAAATAAGTTCAAAGCTGAATTGAGCCTAAAG